TGCTGTTCTTCTACTGATAAACTCACTATCTAAACTTTCCTATTGAATAGCAATAAATCTCTTCTCTTTTTCTTTCTTATTATTAGATATATAATGATTATGCCATATTACAGATCGAACGTGAATCCTTCCCGTCTGATTTGCTAGCATTTTGCTAAAGGAAATTGTAACAGAGGGATGAGTTGTCATTTTTTGCACAAACAAGAAGATACAAGTTCTCAAAGTATTAACAATGGGAGTGATATGCAATACAACTATAGAAATAGGAAAAGTTTATTGCATAAGTCGAAAACTAACTCGAACTATCATCAAAATAAGAGTGCTCCATCAGTTTGTTGTTATTTCTTGGAAAATCATTATATATTTGAAGATTCATGTTGAAATAAACATGACAAATCTGATGACGTTAATAATGAAGTGAGCTCTACTAGCACTAACTATATTCAGAAAAATGATTTAAAAGATCAAAAAGAACAAAATGCAAAAATTGTTGATGAAGAAAAGTATATATGTGGTATTTGCTTTATATCTTCTAAAGAATTTGGATTACTTAAACAATGTGATCATGTATTTTATTTCTGTTGTATAAAAAAATGGTTAATACTAAATACCACTAAGACATATCCTACATGTAAAACTTATTCTCTATCTTTTGTTAATTCAAGTCTTTTTGAAAAATCTGAAACCAAAAAGGATCAACTGTTTTTTAAGGTTCAAAAATTTTATTAGAATTTATTATTTATATTATTTTTTAATCATTATCTAAATAATTTTTTTTTTCCTTTAAAGATGTCAAAGAACCTTGTTGAATAGATTGAAAAGTATGTAACCGATTCACATAATACGATGGTTGTATTTTATATTTTATTTCATAAAATGTTTTGTATTTGTGAATTCTTTTATGTGAGAATAGTACTTGGATTTAAGCCAAACTTTTTTCCAAATAGAATTTAACGTCAATATTCAAATAATTTATTTTTTTTATTTATTTACTCGTTTTATTTGTGAGAAATTATGTAAAAACAATAATATGAAAATAAATAAACTTAAATATTTGTGAATGAATAATTTTA